TCAACAAGCGGACCGTCGGTCACGACTTTCAGTCCTCGTACCAGAACTCACCTGGTCTCGTACCCCCCTCTGCTAGGGTAACAGGGCACCACAACCCTCCCCAATACCGACCAACCTAGTTCTGACGGACAGGAATTGCCTTCCTCCCTCGACAATTCCTTTAGCGACAAACCCCTAAATAGGTTACAGGGTCCAAACCCCGGCGCCGACTACGTTGGACGATCTGGTTACGCCTTCCACCCTCGACATAACTCCATAGGCCTCAAGCTCCCCCGGGGTCACAGACCAAAGCTCCAGCACCGGCCTATGTAGTTCCAGCATCGTCCTCCTAACCTACTCACCCTAGCCGACATCTTCCGTCTGTTGAAAATCCCCATTCTTCTTTCCATCCTCCCACTCTAGTTCCCCCCAGACAAACTATGAGGCAACCATCAACAGGAAAAAGCACCCCCATAAAATTAAGATGTACAGCCGTAGATCTTTCCATCGAAAATCAGGAACAAGATTAAGAATCTATCTGGAGCGTCTTTTTTATATTTGAAATTTAACGATGAGATCAAAGTAATCAAGGAAATTTAGGTCATGAATTTTGGCATCCAATTCAGAAGGTCAATCGCAGACACAATTTGATAGATTTCGAAATTTCAAAAGGAGAAACAGAATAGGAAGTTGATTCTGATGTCCTCACGGACTTCTGACTTTGATTTCCAGAACCCTAGTTCAAGAAATCGCTCGGAGTGTAAATCAGGAATTACCAAACAAAAGGAAAGTCACTAAGACAATAATCATGAAATTCTAAGCTGAAAACGAATCGGCCATGAAGACAGTACATGAGAAAGTAAAAAATCAAACTACCGATCAAGGTCTACTAAAAAATCTGAATCAAGAATACGACATGTAAACTCAGAGATTGAAATTTTCGGAGATCGGAACTGAAAACTTACAACGCGAATCAAGGTAATCCAGTTTGGTGACTACAACAAAAACCATTATACCTCATATGACCGGCGAGAGGGACTATCCAAAGAAAAGCAAGCTCATCCTGAAAATACAATCAACAAAGTGAACAAAATCGACCACAGCACCCTTGCATTCCGGGTGCCCTTGTGACGAAAACGCAGCTGCCGCTGATACCGCTTTGCCCTTCTTCAAAACACGCGGACTCGATGTCGCCTTCAATCCTCCTCCCACTCCACGTGAGGACGTGCTCCTCCCTTTCAGCCTGCATCAACCAACCATCCTCCCCAAAACTACGCAGACAGAGAAGCAAACGCAACCCATAGGCCAGGAATCTCATGAAGACCCGCCCCCTTTCAAAGACAGTCTTCCCTTCAACCAATGTGCTGGCCTGCAACATCACTAGATGAAGCGTGAAGCCGGAGATGGCACCCCTGTGCTTTCAAAAGGCAGGTCACACCAAGTCACGCCACATCATCTCTACCCTCCCACTGTCTAGTCCCACGCACCCCCACCCCCATCCGCCCACGGTGTCGCATGACTCTCCGTTGACTCCCGCGGCACACCGCGTCCGCTCCGATGGTGCTCGAGCGGGGGCGCTCCCGGTTGCACTGCGCCCCACCGTGGCATTTCCTCCTCGGTGGAGCCGGTGGAGTAGTCTACTCACTCACTCTGCATTTAAAAGTTTAGCCACCTCCCGGTACCATTCCATCTCAACCAAAGCTAAGGGAGGGGGTGGTAAAATTCAGCAAAGTCTAAGAGGGGCCGAAGTGGGATGGAGGGTGCGATGTTTGTCCAATCCTGGAAGCATAGGCGGTAGTCCCTTTCCGCTTCCTCTACGTCTTCCCCCTCTTTCTCCTCTCCCTTCCATGTAACCTTGGCGATCCAACCCCCTCGGCGCTTACCCAACCAGTCTCTGTCGAACCTCTCTATGTGTTGTCTAATTTCCTGTTTAGAACGTAGATATGTGATCTTTTCTTTGAATCTTTCCCATTGAACGGAATGTCATTTTGTATTTGTTCTTTAATTGAATTAATGAACTCCGTTCCATCCTGGCGTACTCCTTCCATTCTGAGTGTGCATCGTCTCTACCAGATGGCCCAAATGATCGCTTGGCGCCCTATTTTAAACATGTTTTCTTCAGAAGGGGTAGCTTGTTCTGGAGCCCATGCCTCACAGAGGAGTGCTCTCCAGTCCCATGGCCACGGTTGTGAGGTGCCGAGTTGTCTCCATATGCGGTCCCACCACCTCCATAGCCATATTGTTGTCGGGCACTGTAAAAACATGTGCTCTATGGTCTCAGGCCATTTTCGAGTCGGGAAGGATGTTGTGCATATCTTCCACCATGGGAGTGCCAGTCCCTTTTGTTCTAGCCTCGTTCTGTCTATCAGCCTGTCGTTGGTCGTCAAGGACCTATGTTCCACCTGCCATTGGAGTGAAGCTAGTTTCGCCGACATGAACTTACTCACTTTAAACCATCTGACCGGTTGCAATGTGTCTCTCCCCACGTTTAGATGTTTCATTCATCGTGTCTCCACCATGTCTTTCAGGTTTACTCTTGGACGCAACATTCGGTAGGTTGCCTTGACTGAGAGAGACTGTAGCCGCCTCACCCCGGACCTCCCCCTCCCATATTGCTGAGTCGATATCCACTCATCGGGGTCTAGCGGGAACTCTTGAATTGGTTTATTCGGCTTGTATGCTCGTCATTGGTCCTTTTCTTTGAGGACACAGATACGGTATATCCCTGACCTCTGGTACCATGTTGTCTCTTATCGTTTTTTATTCTGAACTGGTTGGCGATCACTTCCTGCTCCTCCCCTCTGCCAGCCTAGCGGGTGTATACGACACTTCTGACCAGCCCCTTGGTATCCCAGAATCCCACCCAATCTCCCTCTATCACCATCGACCCTTTCTTTAAAATCCGGATCCAATCAAGGGGGATAGCAAAAATAATGGTCTCCAACACTTTTCCCAATTTATGGCAGTATTTCAATTTCGTCCTTAGTCTGGTCTCTGACCGCCAGTCTTTGGTTTCCCGGTCCCAGATATCCTTGACTCAAAGGACACAATTTTTGACCCAACCTTTCTAAGGGTTTTCATTGCTATAGAAGACCTTACTTTGGGGCCCTGTTACCCATAATCCCAATTTTTTTTCTTCGAAAATCGATTTTTCAGCTTACGCCATGTCTTTAGTATCGTGGCCCAAAGAGGGTCTTTTCCTAAGTCCTGCCCGACGCCTATCTGTCTGACCCTCCCTTCACATTGGTCCGGGTTGATGTTTGTGGTATGGTCCAATATCTGTCCTGAAGCCACGTCTCTGGTGCTACCTCGGGGGGCGCCGGTGGCACTAGCCTAACAATCTGTTGCAAGGCCAAAGGTTACCATGACGCTTGTGTGGGCCAGGGTCATCACTTGAGTAGTCGGGTCGATTATACCTAGGCCCCCTCGAGTTTTTGGTTGTACAACCAACTGCCAGGCCACTCTACTTGAGCACTGAGTCTCATGATTCCCTCTCCATAAGAAAGTTGTCACCTGTCTCTGGAGGGAAGTTGTCGCAGGTTTACTGAGAGCCCAAATTGCTGTTTTATACCAAAAAGCCGCCAAAATTACATTGTTGATTACTAGGGACCGACCCATCAAGGAAGTCTATCGGCCTTTCCACTAGGTCAGTTTCCCTAGGACTGGTTGCGTGAGTCATTCATCAGTCAAGGGTGGTTTTCCCTCTGCTGTCATCTGGACCCCCAAGATTCTAATCGGGGCTTTTGTGGACATCCATCTAATATTTGGGGTGTTTGGTGGTCTCCCTCCTTGTTAGTGTATCCACCACCCTTGTGTCTTGTTGCCCCAATTAACTGTCCTATATGAGAGGGAACAAAAACGATCCATCAACTTTTAGATTTCCATCATATTTTAATGAGACGCATCTATCATTATGGTAAGATCATCTGCAAAAAGAGGGCAAACTGGAATGGCGTCCTCTGGGATAGAGGAGAGCCTTATCTTTTGAATGTCCTTATGTATCCTGAAGTTTTGTTGCTAGGGCCTCCATAATAATGACGAAGAGAAAATGGGTGATAGGGTCTCTCTGCCTCAACGACCGTTCTAGGTGTATAGCAGGGGCTAGTCTACCATTTACTTGAACGGTCATTGTGACGTGTTGATGCAAGATTTCGACCCACGTTCTAAAGGTTGGACCAAAATTCATCCTTTCGAGGCATTTATCTAGAAAAGTATAGTCAACATGGTCATATGTCTTTTCAAGATCTACAAAGATAATGGCAGCGTTGTATTTAGATTGTCTTGATAATTTAATGACCTCATTAACCAATAGAATGTTGTTCTCAATTTCCCGCCCTCTAATAAAGTCGTTCTGCGCCAGGTAGATAATGTCCCCTATCACCTCCCCCATACGGTTTGCCAGTGTCTTTGCCACTAACTTATATACCACAGTTAAGAGGGTGATCAACCTATAGGTTTTTTTTTTTTTTTTTTTTTTTTTTTTTTTTCAAGAAACAGCCCGAACTAACGCTAGGGGTGCTGGTAAGAGCAGACACCACTAGCGCCGTCAGGAAGGCTCCATCTATTGGTGGGGAGCAGCACCTGCTGGAAATCGGGTCTAGCGTCCCTAAATATGGTAATCATTCGTTTTTTCAAGCAAAAGTTTACGACGACTTGTAGTGTATGTGCACAATCAGATGTATCAGATGTATGATGATGAGCAACATTGATTGCCCTCGTAAAAGGGGATTAACTGCTCATAGACCGTGCCTTCCTTACCCTACCGTGCTCCACCCATCCACCGATAGGTAGACTGTTCATCAGCGAACAAAGGGGGGGAAATCACAACAGAGTCAGAAACCACAATCATTTCCCGACAACCCCAACCCTAACCGTAATGACAAGTCTCCTCATCAACCATCCTGGAAAGCAATCATCAAACATAGTATAGTAATTATCAAACAGAAGACAGGGATATCAAAAAAAGGAAAAACAAAACCCTAAACAATCCCCCTACCACCAGAGGGGCCACCACCCCTGCCTGATTGGAGTTGCGAACCGGACAACTCCACTCCCCACCGACTAACCCACGTCCATCCGCTGCCAACCAACAACTCTGGGCATCCCCCTGCACCCGCGATCGATCTCCAAATTGTCCTTAACATCCTTGGCATCATCGCCATAACCGTAGTTATTGTTGTTGTTAATCCTGTCGGTGTTATTGTTGCCAGCAGTACCGCTGATCCCAATAGCGCCATTATTATTGTCGATCCTTTGACCATCAATTTCATCTCCACAGTTATTGTCGTCGATCCGTTTGCCGTCGATTTCGTCTCCGTAGTTGTCGTCAGCAATAAAACTGCCGTTAATCTTCTTGAGCTGTTTGTTGTTGTTGTTGTTGTTGTTGTTGTTGTTGTTGTTGTTGAAGATGTTGAAGTTATTATTGTCGTTATTGTCGTCGTTTTCATTGATGTTCTCACCACCTCCAAGGTCAATCCCTTTGCTAACGATGTCGTCTCCACAGTTGTCTTTCATGACACCAAGAAAGCTATAGTTGACAATCGTGAGGTTGTTATTGTTGTTGTTGTTGATGTTTCTATCATTGTTATTGTCGACGTTGTTGTCGCTGTTGTTACCACTGCCACCTCTGTCGATGATGTCGTTGTCGTTGCAGTCCGACTCGTTACAATCGATGTTGATGTTGAAGTTGTTATTGCCTCTGCTCTCTCCGTTCGTTGTCGCAGGCGACAATCCCGCCTCCAAGGCTGCACAACGATCCTGGCCGCTCCTAAGGATGTCGTAGCACCTGTGCATGAGCAAGCCAGCTTGATGCCAATCCACAAAGTCATCAAGCGAAGGAGCCGACCCCTCCTCCAACTCCCAAATGACTTCAAGCATACTCTGCATCATGTCCTCCAGCCATGGCTGTAGTGTGACTGTCCCCCCTGCAGCCCCTAACTGATCACCATGGCTCGAACACAAAATATCCACAACCTCCTGCAACCGGCGGCCGCCTTCTTCTATAGTCAGCAACCATTCAGCCGCACCACTTCGTAATTCTTCGTTAGAAACCATGTCGTCCAAAAAAAAACACGCCGTCAGATCCTGCAAATCAGACGCCTCACACCGACGTACCGTCTTCTGGTGTATCCGGTGGGAAATCCACCATCGCCTGGACAGATTGACCAAGCTGACACCACAATGACCAAGACCAACTATGGAGCCACAACTATCCCAGTCCACGGAGTATGGCTGGGCCTCGCCAGCCGGTCCATAGCGCAGGTTAGCGCTAAGCGTCAGCGCGCCTTTCGGTTCCCACGTGTTGGGCCTGCTACGTCATCGTGGTTATTTTCTTAGTAGCTCCAATTTTTTCTCGATCGACCTATAATTTCTTATGTTCATTTGATCACCTTTCTTATACAGCAGGGTCAAGACACCTTGTCCCACCAATTCCCCCATCTGACCCGTGATCCATACCATGTGATAGTAGTCCATCAGGTCTTGCGCTAAAGTACTCCACATGGTGTCCCAGAATTCCTTAGGGAGCCCATCTATTTTGGGGGTCTTTTCCTCTTTCATTTGCACAAGTGTCCACCACACCTCTTCCTTGGATAAAGGCATCTCTGGAGCTTCCTTTTGCTGTTTCGAGAGGTGTTTTTGCAATGGGATAAGAAACTCATTTAATCCTGTTATCCTTTGTTGGTATGACTTTTCCTCTTGACATAAAGAGGTATTGGAAGAAATCCCTTGCTATCCTAACAGACATGGCTGTAGACATGGCCACCGAGCCGCGGGGTTGTGATGGGTCATGCAGCGCCTCGATGGTGGTTCTACCTGTCCTTGTCCTGACCATGGCAAAAAAAAGGGCGTCCATCGTCCCTTCAATTTTATATCTATGCAATTTCCCTCTGATCCGTATCCCCTGCCATCTGTCTCATATGCACTAGCAAGCGAGCCTCTGTTGACGCTATGGCCTCAGAGAGTTCCCTTGAATTTGGTCCTTCATTTTGCTCTTCTTGTTGTTTTAATGATCTAGTTGGTGGTGTAGGTCCATTTCGTCCGCATGTCATCGGACAACAAGGCCTTTAGCGAATTCACCTGATTTTCTACCGAGAAATGTCAGTCCATTGTTAAACCATATAATATCATTTTGAAGTGTATCCCTATGTGCTTTCCAGTACTGCCATACGTTATGCATAAAATTTTGAAAGTTTTTTCTTCCTAACAAGGACGTATTCTGTTTAAAGAACCCCGACCCCTGGTCTGGCCGCTTCCTAAAGGAGAGGATAACAACACACATTGTGTGGTCTAAACCGGGGTAGCACTCGTCAAAAACACTTCTGCCATGTAGTAGAGCCTCTTTTAAATCCTGCAAGATCATTATTAAATCAATTCTTGATCTTGAGATTCGGTCCGTCCCAACTCCTGTCACCAACTTTTCTCCTTCCTTTCCCCCCTTCTCCTCCTGTCTCTCTTTCCTCCCCCCGGGACTGCATTTTTGTGGGGCTTTTACCCTTGCTCTTTCTCCTTCCGTCCGTGCCCCCTCCCTGCTACCTCCTACCTCACCCGTACTATTTACTGTACCATCTTTCTCTCCTTCCTCCTCCGGGGCATTGTCTTATGCAGGAGTCGGGGGGTAAAACCTTGTGAACACAAATTTCCGCATTCGGTGACAGACCTCCTCCCAGCACACCCCTTGTGGAGACCCATGATCTGGAACTATTCCGAGGCTCCCGCTTTTTTCCAATTCTCGAATGAGTTCTCTGTATGTATCGTCCCAGAATTCCTCAAACAAGTCTGGGAATTTAAAATGCAAATTGTGTAGTATCCATTCATACATTTTTCTTAATCTGTTTTCTGTTGTGTCAGGTTCAGCCTGTCAGTTTTTATGTCCTTCCCTCATCTCTTCCGCTTCCTGCATCACCTCATCCACCGGCGGAGGGGGGGAAGGGAGGGGGGGAAGTTCCTTAAATTTCCTCCACTTCCATGGGGGTCGGGCCGAAGACATCTCTAAAGATGTCTGTCTGACTTGTTCCCACCTCCCCCCCCCTTTTTCCTCACTTTATTTTTCCTCCTCTTTCCCCTGCCCCCTTCCTCCCCGGAGCACCCCTTTTAAAGAATTCCTTCTCTCTTTCCTTCTCCGGGGCATCGTCTTGCGCATGAGTGGGGGGGTGCAACCTTATGAGCACAGTTTTTGCCATTCGGGGACAGACGTCCTCCCAACACACCCCTTGTGGACGCCCATGATCCATAACTATTATAAGGCTCCCGCATGTATCGTACCAGAATTCCTCCGACAAGTCTAGGAATTTAAGATGCAAATTGTGTAGTATTCATTCGTACATTTTTCTTAATCTGTTTTCTGCCGTGTAAGGTTCAGCCTGTGAGTCTGCCTGTCCTTCCCTCATCTCTTTGGTGTGCTCTTGGCTTTGTAATTCTGCCTCCGACTTTGCTAGTACATGTTTGTTTGACTTTCGGTCTTTTGCTGCTTGAGAAAATATGTGTTCGCATTGATTGGTTGAATTTGGTTCCTTTCCAGATTATGACCCACCAAGGCCAGCGAGTTGGTCACACGGTGCCGGTGGTATGTCGAAGTATATGCCAAGGGCAGTGTTGGTGAATGTCATGCTGGAAGAGTGTAATCTCATGCAAAGAAGTAGCAAGTGCATGGGTGAAACTTGTAGAGGATGTTGGGCATTGTGATCAGAGTATTTGGCGTTGTCGACGACGTTGCCTTGTGACACTGCTGGCATTGTAATGTTTGACGGTTCCTGAGCACGACTGGTCATCAAATGCAACATCAAACAGTTGGTGAGATATACTCTGGTTGGTGGCAGTGTACATTTTTCCTTTTCGAAACAAGTCTGGCAGTGTCACACTTTCGGGTTCGAAAGGGCAAAAAAATCACGTATGGGTGACAACATCGGGTAAAGAGTTTGAAAAGGGCAATATCGAATATTGTCGGTAAAAATGAATGTGGCCTGCATGCGATTTTGTTGCCCTTGTCAAACTCGGCCGCAGGTAATAATGTTTTTGTTGCCCTTTTAAACTCAGCGCGTGAGTTTGTTGCCCGCGTGTGATTTTGTTGCCCTTTTCAAACTTGTTTGTGCCACAACTGAACTTACCCC